CCCGCCGCCCCGGGCCGGAGCCCTGAGCCCGGCGGCGGGGGAGGCAGCCCGGGCCGGGCACCGCCTCGGGCGGGGAAAGCGCTGGGCCACGGCGGAGCGGGCCCGTTCGGCGGGGCTCGTACCGGCGAGTGTGTGTGGGGGGAAACGCGTTTAACGGGGGCGAGGAGATGGCGCGGCCGTAGGAACCGGGGCATCCCGGGGGCATCCCGCAGACCCCCGGGCAACCGCAGCCGCCGGTCGCCCCCCCGCCTCGGCAGCAAGCCGGGCCCGCGGGGACTCCCCGTCTGCGGCTCCAGAAACGGGGCTTTGCCCCGGGGAGCGGCGGGGAGGCCACAGCCGTTCCCTCCCGGGGCCGGAGCGGGGAAGCGGGGCTGCGGGCAGGGACCCCGCACGGCCCCCGGGGTCCCCCGCCGCCTCTCCTAATTTAACCGCCGATTCTCCCCCACCTGCTAAACAGCCCCTCCGCTTCCAAACAAAGCCCCGTGGTTAGAACAGCTCAACTCCGTAAAATATTTTTCGAATAAAAAAACTTTACCGGCGCATTGCCGGGAGCGGGGGGGACGGGACGTGAGCCGATCGTGCGGCCGCTCGGGGCGATAACTCTGGTGCCGTATTCAAGCGCTGCTCTTGGCTTCTCCCCGCGATTATTTTTTTTAAAAACAAAAATATGCCGATGGAAAGGACGTGTTTAACTGCTGCTCCCCGGTACGGTCGGGCAAACGAGACCGCAGCCGTCCGTGCGGGCTCGCCGGGGGGGGAAGCCGGGCCGGGCCGGTGCCCGCAGCCCAGCGGGGTGCGGGGTCGTGGGGTGAAACGCCGAGAACCCCGGGGGCAGAGGGGTAGGGCTGGCTCCGGGCGGCCCGGGCCTGGGCAAAACGCCGCTAAAACCGGGAGATTTTAGGTGGTCGGCTGCTTTCGGGGCTGCAGCGAGCTCCGGTGCCGGCCGCGGTCCCGGCTCGGGGGACGTTTCCCGGGGGCCCGGCAGCAGCCGAAGCCCCGGTAACTGCCCAGCTCCGGCAATTCGGGAAAAATATCCCGATGGTGCGGCTCTTTCCACGCCGCCATGGGCGGTGGCGGTCGTTACACGGGGGGGGGGAGCAGCGTTCACGGTGCGTTACAGCCCCCTTTTCCATGAAAACTGTCATTCTAAGAACACAGCTTTATTACACGCGGCATTTCAGTGGAGCATTAATGACCGTAATTATTTTAGCTTTAATTAGAACACATGAGAGGCGTTTCATTAAATACCCTTGCATGAGAAATGGTTGCAACAAGGTGCGGGGTGCGTGTGCGCTGTGGCTGGGCAGGAGCCCCGGCCGCGCCTTCGCTGTTCGCCGTGTGCCAGCAGCACTCGAGGTACCTTCACAAACCCCTCGGCAGCCAGAATATTTGTCTGGAACTTCGGTTGAAGTTACGGTGGTTTGGTTGGGGTTTGGTTTTTTTTTTGTTTGGGTTTTTAAAAAAATTTTTTTTCCTCCTTTTTTTTTTCAAAACGCGCCATGACTTAGAAAATTTCGTCTCCCGTCGGGAGGATTTGTTGTTGTTTAGTGCCAGATTTCTGCCCGGATATCTTCTAGTCTCTCCTTCGGGGAAAAAAATAAAAGAAAGAAAAGCAAAAAAAGAAAAGAACCCTGGCTGAAAAACGGGGCCTGTGGGCGCAGGTTGCCTGCACCTCCGGCCCCTTGCTCTCCCCACTCCAGTTCTCTTATTTTTTTCCCTCCTGTCTTTGGAATAAAGACGCAAAAGTACGTTTTGGGGAATCACCAGCTTTGTCCGCAGCCGTGAGGGCGATGCGCTGCCCGGGTGGCCCCGTCTCCTCTCGGCAGCTCGAAGCCCCGAGTTTGCTGGAGCAGCTGAGAAATCGATAAATCCAAAGCAAAGTGCGTGTTGGGGGGGGGACGGGACACACGGACGCGGGCGGCCCCCCCACCCCCCAAAGCGGCCAGCAGTGACCCCGGCACCGGCCGGGACGGAGGCGCGGGGAGGGGGGGGGGGGGGGTTGGCCCGGGGGGCGGGGTCCCCCC